TGGAGGTGTGAGGGGGGGGGTTAGGGTGATGCAAATCCTACTTCGACAGGTGCTGCACGTGAGGGGCGTATGAACGTTAGGATTGTGGGTCACGCGTCAGTGGATTGCAGAATCAGTGAAGCTCTACTTGGCCGAGAACGAATGGACTGTGGTTGTTTCACGCTAAGCGCTAGTTAGTGGACCATGCACGCAAACCAGCGTAATGTGAATCGAGATCCACGTGCCTGTTGACGCTATTTGTGCCCAAGTGCCAAGCTTCAAGGAATTATCGTGTCTGCTATGTGTTAGCAGTGGCGACCACTTCAGTTTATTCCTAATTGAAGCAGTGGTCATAATCATTATCGTGCGCATGCACGAGACACAATGGATCACGTCGTCAGATGGTCAGCATTTTTCACTTATGCGGGCCCCGTATTTTCGACCTGTATGGCCTATGGAGACACTAGGGCAATTAGCACATGGAATGCAGTGAATGACATTGGTTTGGTACTCTTTCGGTATGTGGTTTTTAACGTGAGAACGCCGGCTTGTGAGCGATGCTGATGCCGAGATGATTTAATTGTCGAGCGATCAGTTCAGAAAGTCCTTGCATGTAGGGTAAGAAATAGAATGTCCTCTGTACCACTTCTTCGTTAGGGCACCGATTTTTTGCTTGTTTCTGACGTCGTGTCTGTATTCAGCATATTTGATATTCTGAATGAAAAGTAAAGTGATCTTAATTAGCCGCTTGCGACCTTTTTGAAATGGCGCTTTTTGTTTGTTCCTATTTAATAATGTTACTTCTTACATATAAGTCAGTCACCGTGTCATCTATACGTTTCTCAAGCAAATATCGAAATTAAATTCTTCTTCTTTTCCATATAGAACCATTTGTTACTTAATGTTGTTGCGCGTTCTTGGTTTAGAATTTGGAACACTTTTTTATCTTGGTACAGATACTTCATGCCATCTGTATCTTCGTGTTCAACGAAATTTACTACAAGATTGCGAGATGGCTGACAAACCTTGAGAACCATCGTCTGGATGAAGATTACTCCAACGCATTTGTCGCTAAAGTGATTGTGGTAAGACTTACCTGAATATTTTTCTATCCTGCTTGCTTCCTAAAGGACGTTAACCAGCAAAACTCAAAACACACTCTATCTCTGCATTTATAAGTCGTATATGCTCTTTCTGGCTACTGACTGTTATATTTTTTGAAACCAGAACCTGATTAATCTGCATGCACAAAGTCCATGCATATCGATGCCGTATTTTTCGGCCATTGCCAATAAGCTCTAGGGCCAATGCGGGGTGACCGTAATTTATTTGACGGATTGGTACTCATTAACTTATTTGCTTTAGTTATCCAATCAACATAAGCATTCTTGTCCGATTTCAA